CACTTATTTTTTGCTGATCACCATTCTAATTTCTTTCCACTTATTAATTGTGCCATGAATATAATTTCATTTCTTCAAACCATTCTCTTGTTACTTAGAGAAAGATGATCATTTATAACACACACACTAAATTCTTTAGTTGAAATATGTAAACATAATAATAAAATAATATATAGTATCAACAAGAAATTTTTTGTCACTTGTAAATCAGATAATGCAGTTCTGACTATATGCTAAAGAATAAAGTCATCAGATACACATCCTTATTTTTTATCTCCTAACAATACCTTCATCTTTTAGAGTTTCATTTCTTTGCTCTGTGGATGTTTCTCCCTAGTATAGTATAAATAAAATCCGAGATTTTACCTGCAGGTTTAATCTTTCTTTCTTAATATGTAGCTCTAAATACTTTAAAGAATTTTGAACTAATCATACACTTGATTTATATTCAAAAGTGTCTAACCAAAACAGTCTTTTAAAATGTTGCTGTGTCCATAAAAAGACACTCGTGTTAAATAGAAAAGACTAGGCAATTTCTGTGCTGAAGAATTTTCTTCCCAATGCCCTGATATCTTATTTTTCCGCATACTTTTTATTTAATTGAATTCTACTCTGCTTCTTTGCTTAATAGCTTCTGTTTAAGCTAATTATAAAAATTATGTACAAATGATATGTATTTTATTATCTAATAAGGTGAAATTAGTTCCCACTTTTAGACATTATTTACTGGAACTCAATTTGCCTCTACTAACTGTGTTTCAAATTCATAAATTTAATAAAAAGAATAGTTAAAGAAATCAGGATTACCATAAATTACTTTTTAGCATAATGTGGTTTTAACAAAACTGACTTTGCCAGTTGAAAATCTTTGGAAAGGAATAAAAAAAATTCTTAAAACCCTTAGTGAATCTTACACACTTTTTTTTTATATCTTAACTCATTTAATAGGGGAAACAAACTAATTATTGATTAGGCATGTTATTCATCCCTTATTATTCAAATTAGCATGTTAATCACCTTTTCTTAAACAAAATATTTTCCTCTGAAAAAGTTTTGGTTGTTCAGAAAATTTATTTTAATAGAATGACTGGTTAGATTTATTGAATAAATAGAAGATTTTACCATATGTGTTTTGAATATAAGAATGGTTAAGCAATTAGCAAATGTGCAAGGTAGATAGTAAGCTGTTTTTCTAAGGAATAAAATCTATTGTGTAACAATGTTAGCAAAGAAAGATCTAGGTTGATGTCAATTCTTATGGCTTAATCAGGTTAGAATTTTCATGACTATTGGCAAAATGTATTACAGGGCTTTCAGAACAAAGATTCAATCACAGAATTTTAGAAATCAGAACAAGCCTTTAAGACTAGTTCTATTCCACAGTTTTATAGAAATGGGTAGAAACAATGTAATCATTACAGAATGTTATAAAACTAACAAATAACTTACTACTTATTAAGTACCATTAACATACGACTGGGCCATACTGGCAATCTCTTGCTAAAGATCGTGAGTAATATGATAAATTGCTAACTTTCATTGATGACATATTTGTGTAAACATCGATATATACTATACAGCATCTTAAGGCACAATTCCTATATCTGATAAAAGAACACTTTGCAAAATGAGTTTCTGATATGGCCTTTTCAATGACAATACTTACTGAAGGACATGAATTGGTTGTTAATGGTGGGCTACCACAATATTTTTCCATCATTTTAAAATGACTGCTTACAGTATTGGCAAAAGTTTCACCAAGGTAGCAAAACATGATTTCCCCAAAGGCCATTTCCTTATGTTCACCTCTTTACTACAGCAGCAATACATGAAAGGCTCCTGCTAACCATTTGTCTCTCCAGCTGTGAGCCTAAAAGTTGTAAGTGCTGTTGGACTTGCAGACAGTTAAATGGGTAGAAAAAAGTGAGTGAGAAAGAAGAGGTGCCCACTTGTGAATCTCCTGCTATGCCACTCGTTTTGCTGCCTTCTATATCCAATTGTCATAGTTTATATAAAATTCATTAATCAACCACGACCTCAGAGCTCGTGTCAGTTGCAGTGTCTTTGAAATAAAGGGCTTCCTTGACTGCCCTATGCTAGTTGCACCCGCCACAGAACAAATATATTTGTTCATCCACTGAGAAAGTCATTTTTTTCTTTCTTGTAATAGCAGCAATTTTTCTCTTCAAAATAAAGCAAAATCTAGCTTTTAAGATAAAGCTCTGAACAATAATAGTCACATCTCTTTCTCTCTCTCTACAGCCAAGATCAGCCTCAATATAGTTGCATCAATTTCCAGGTTTTATTGAAAAATGCTACAGTTAGAAGTAAAACCTAGCATAGGATTTCATCTGCAGTTTTAAGTCTTTAATTTTTCATAGGAAAAGTACAACAGAGGCCTTACCACCCCCACTCTCAGGCTCAATACTCCCGTACGCTTTGCAAAATTCTATGTGTTGAATTAATTTCTCAGGATCATTATTATTTACTTCTGTGGCACCTTTCAAACATCAAATTAACAAGATTAATATCAAAAGGTTCTACAACAGTAAGTAAAATGTCAGTCTGATGCCATAGTAATCAATTTAAAAAATGAGACTAGAAATCTGAATCTATTATTATGATCGTATTTATGATTGTATGAATAAAGTTATTCACTCCAGAATGCTAACAAGATGTTTTTCATGTATCATTAAAATAACTTATGTCAAATACTTGGCTAAATTATTGAATTGCTTTCAATATTAATAATTTCATATAAATGTCTAGCAAGAATAAAGTCAAAATTAATTAATGATCAACTAGGATAGATTATTTCTCTTGGCTCTCATTTGCTTTCCTAATAATCAATTTGCTTTTTTCTAAAATAGACCCATATGAAATTCGTCCTAGTAATTTCACACTTATATTTTTTAATAAACCAAAACTGTTTAAAGAATTAAGTGATTCTCTTGTAAGTCATTAATCCTTATGGCTATTATAAATCATGTTTCATCCTTTAAATTTGATATGCTCATTTTCTCTTTAATTATTGTATAATAATATGATAATATTGCAGTAATTTTATTAGCCCTACTTCTAATAGATTTTATAAAAACTGATTTATTCTAAAATTAATCATATTTGACTTCATAGTACAAACATCCCTCTCATTATTCCACTATCGATTAGAGAAAACTTATTTTCAAGATGTTTAGCTCTAATAGTATAAAAGGGGACATTAACATCTTTAATTTTGTAATTATTTTGTACTCTGGTTTGGATTTTTGTGACTCAATGTTTGGCGCATGAATCTCCCATAAATTTAGGCTACAATTCAAGAGATTAAGAATCAAACTCTTTGATTTTCTTTTAGCAGAGGATATAATACTAGCAAGTGTCATGTTATCTAACAAACTGTAGTAAGAATACAGATCTGAAAAGTCAAGTAAGAATTAAACCTTTGAATATTAGGCATGTTGAAGAGATAGTAGGTTTCTGGCAAAGAGTTAAGCTCTTTCATGGTTACTGTATTTGAAAAAGGTCATTCCCTTTATGTGACTGTCGAATATACCACTTCATTTAGCAACTACAAAATTACAGATGAATATTAAAATGGAAAAGAATTGTTAAAATAACTGTACAATAAAGATACAGTAAGCAGCTGTTATCCTGAAAACAATTCTTTTTTGAAAATTCTACAAGCCAATAATTCTTAATGTTAAGTTTATCTTTTAATTTAGTTTGGGTCAATTCCTTTCTCACCTACACTACTGAAAATGGCTTTGATTTCATACCTATGTACCTACTCTTAAATTATTTCTGTTTACCTTAGTATGATAAATAAATGGTATGCTTGGAAAAGCATATACCATTTCTCTAAGCATTTTCTGTACTTTCTAAATATTCTTCCCATTTAAAAATGGAATTGGAGTTTGCTTGCTTAAATAACAACCTAATCTTTTCAATAACCCTATGATACAAAGGATGCATTAGAGACTTCAAATATAATAATAAAAAAAGCAGAAAGTAATATTTTCTTGGTGTTTTTGTTTTGCAGTTATGATGCTTACTGCTTTTTATGTTCTATCATATTCAATCTTCATAACCCTGAGGCAGGTAAATACAGAAAAGGAAAGGAGGAAGACTCACACGTTAAGTAATCTGCTTAATTCACACAGTTAATAAGGGACCAACCCAGCCGGAGCTTAAACCAGAACTGTTTGATTCTAGAGCTTACTGTACTACCTTTCCAACTGGGATAGAATAGAATAGAATAGAATAAAATAGACTAGAACAGAATACAATACAATAAAATTCAATACAATACAATACAGTAGGAAAGCCTGTATCTGAGAGAGTTGGAACCATATGTTGCCATAAAGCAACCTTTGCTATAAAGTAGAAATGCCAAAAATCTGGACTCTACCCCAGACAAAATTCGGAGAGATGTAAACTTCAAAGGGCTTCCCCATAACCACTCCCATACTTGATCAGCTTCAATTAAGTTAGATAAAGTGAAAAGTGTGAGGAGCAGCTAAGAGACCTCAGAAACAGTCCCTGGGAAAGGAGTGTTGACAGAAACCCAAGACAGGTCGGGGATCCAAATAAGAGGACCTGGGCCTCATTCCTGGGTACAGACTGGAGATGCTTCTCCAGTAAGGCCCCAGAGAAGAAGAAGGGCGAGGTGGCTAGGTAAGGAGATGCCCTAGAGAAGGGCCAGCAGTTTCCCTTGCCTCTCTGCAGGAACAGGAACAGAGGGTTTCACACCCCCTTCCATGCCCAGAGCAACAGCCCTCTCAGAGCCCAACAGCGTGGGAGCAGCATGCAGATCCCAGGACATCTTGAGGGTGGCACTGAAGTTGCAGAGAGAGTGTTGGACCTAAAGGGAATTTGGAGGAAAGACAGTAGCCATCTCAGCATATGCCACTCAAAGTAGAAGTTGCTGAGGCCAGGAACCCCTCCCAGAGGCAGTGACGATATACAAGACTGCCACCGCAAGTGGAAAGAGCAGGCATGAACTGAAGGATCACCACAAAATGAAATTTTAAGACTTAGTAGAAATATGTATACCTTGTTCACATAAATGGAATCTTTAAATAGAAACTGATGCAAGGTTGTTTTTCCTTCTTGCTGTGTAACAACCCTTGATTGAAGAATTTACTTATTTCATTTTTCTATTATTTAATCTGTGACATCATCAGCCTGGGGGTTTTAAATATTCATTTTGTTGGGGAGGGAAGTTTCTGATCATTGTGCTTGCCCACAGCCATCGTCCATTCACTGCGTCTGCTCTCTCTTGTGATGTGGAAGCCAACCCCCGGTGACCTGCATCTCCCAGGCGCCTTTACTGCTGGCTTCTGGTTGGTTCCATCATGTGGAGGCACTAGCAGTAGTTGGAGGATGGGGTCGTAGAGAGGCCGGCATTTCTTCATCATCCCTTCCCAGTTTGAGTGGTGGCTGTGCCCCTTCCCAGGCTCAGCCTTCACTCCAAGGCTCCAACAGCCATTGGTCTTCAGTGCTGTCATTTCCTCCCTTTGCTCTTCAGGTGTATGGGCACCAATGGCTTCCTCTGTTGCTGGACCCTTGGTATCTCATCATGCCTTATTATTTCCCTTCACTCTGCTCATATCTCTGGCAAGATGCCCTTCATTAGAGTCTTTTGCATCTTTTGAGTTGGATTCTCTTTCCTGCAGGTGTCCTGTCTGATGCAAAAGATCATTGATTTATTTTTACGTTTTGAATTTAGAGTGTCTTGTTGGGAGCTAATAGAGATTCAGCTGGGAACTAAAGCTCCCTTAAGCCACTGCTTGGTAATGTTCTGGGCATACAGTTGTGAATAAACCAGATGTGATTCCTGACCTGATAGGACTTCTAACAGGAAAAAAATTGCTAATGTGTAAGGCCTCATTTCTCAAGATGTGGTCCTGCCTCAGAACATACCTGGTATGTTCATTCAAAACTGATACCCAGGCCTCACCAGGACTCCTGATTTTATTTTTCCCATGGACATTGATATTCAAACTTCTTGTTGTATCACAACCATTTTTTCAAATATATAAAGTAAATAGTTCATTTAATTAGCATAAAATTATTTAGTACATTTAAAATATTTCAACAGTATTATACCTATTAAGGATAACATTAAATCAAAAATTAATATTTGGATATTATGAATGCAAGTTGCTAAACATTCACATTTGGCAGGAGAGTATTATAAAATATTGAGAAAATTTGGATTCACAGAAGCTAGTAATGGAAATTGTACTACTTTTCAGCCACTCCCCTTACAGTCTCAGGGTGTTCTTTATTCAACTAAACAGTGACGTTTAAGATTTAAAAGTAATTTCACTTCTTAGTCTTAGGAAAATCAAATTAACATAGATGGTAACAGGTAGGTAGATCTCCAAGTTGGGATTTTTAAACCAAGTTGGACAGTTGTAAAAAAATAATTAGAAAATGTTTTACAAAGTGAAATTTGAATCAAATAGTTCAGGAAGTACTTCTGTGGGACCCCAGGGTTGGTCAAGGGCACTGCCTGAAAACTACCATACTGGGCACTGTGTCAGATTTTGCTCTACTTAGTAAGATAGTGATTTAGCAATACTTTTGTTAAGCTGGGAGTCAACGAATTTAGATTAAAGTGAATGCACTGTGTTTTTCCTGGGCAATTAGCTTAGTAATTAATAACCTAAATCACATAGTAAAAAAATTAAGATGTTAATATATGGATAGTGTATGAGGCTATAACTATTAGAAAAGACATATCTAAATATTTCTAAATTCTCTATTATGGAAAATATTAAACATAATTCAAAGTGAAGAGAACGACTGAATGAATTCTCGTGAACCCATCTCTTGGCTTTAACACTATCAAATCATAACCAGGCTTGTTTTATCTGTATTGGTGCCCCCACCTTCTTTCAGACCCAGCCTGGATCAGTTTGAAGCAAATACCAAACAGCATATCGTTTCTTCTAAAAGTATTTCAGTAGGCTCTGTAAAAGATTAAATATTTTCTTTAGGAACATAACCACAATCACTTAATTCCAATAATTCCTCATTATCATCAAATATCAGGTCAGTGTGTTCATAGCTCTTATTGTTGCATAATAGTTTTATACTATGTATTAATCAGGGCCAAAATATATTCCATACACTGCAATTGCTTGATATGCCTCTGAAGTCTTTTCTAGGTTTTTTTTTCTCTTTCTTGCATAGTATTTGTAGAAACAAAATAGGTCATTTTATCTATAGGATTTCCGACAGTGTAGAATTCGTTGATTGCATCTCCCGTTCCTCCGTAGTCTATGAGTATCTGGTAAATTGCAGTAGGCTGTAGAGCAGTATTCTCAGTCTGGGTATTTTGACTCCCAGGAGACAGTTCTCAATGCCTGGAGACATTTTTGGTTGTCACAGAGAAGGGAAATGTTACTGAGCATCTAGTGGGCAGAGGCCAGTTGAGTTGCTAAACATCCTATATTACATGGAACAGCCCCCTCTTCCAAAAAAGAATTATCTGGCTCAAAATGCCAATCATGCCAGAATAAAAACCTCTAGGGGCATGGTCAAATTCAAGTTTAATTTTTTTCTCCCTATTACTTTTCAGTTTGTCTAAATAGTTTTGTCCTCTTCATTTTTTTAGGCACTAAAACTTCGCATTAAATCAATTTTAATTATTTTTAACTTATAATTTGAAGCATACCATAGGTTAAAAAAACATTCAAATGACTTTAGAAAAAGTTTAAACTACAATTAGGATTAGCATTCACCTTGGTTCCCTGATCAGATTGTTATTTTATTCATGAACTGTCATTACACTCAGAAGAGTTTGGCCTCTCAGTGTAATTGTGATGGGGGTACCAGGCTTATTTTTTATACTATTCATTCCAAGTTAGTCTACCTGCCCTTGCTGATAGCTATTTTCTGAACCCACTATGAAATATGAGAAAATTTAACATTTATAAAATTGCCTGCAAAATTCTGAGAAAATTCAGTGAAAGGCAGTAACAAGTTTGCTTCTCATATATACAGCTATAATTAAATTTGAAAGTAAAAAAGCCATCTGTCCTGGCGTTTGAAAAAAATAAAGCAACATTATTTAGAAAAAACTGGAAAGAAGATCTAACTTACAAATGATTCAAGTCTTTGAAAGTTAGTCACTGAAAAATGCACTAAAGAAATACATTTTTTTTTTTACTGGAGGTAGCCTAGTTTTTTTTGTTGTTAAGAGAAGAAAACTTCTGAGTCCCAATTCTGTCAGTCAACTGAGTGCAGCTTTTATATCTTTATGCTCTATGCTCTTATTCTGTTAAAAAATAAAATTTAAACAGTGAGCATTTTCCAAACGTGTGCTAGTCTTATTTTTATCTCAAAGATTGAAAACAAGATAAAGAACCCTATGATATATTAACTGATTCTATGTTGACACTGCACCAAAACCCTGTTTGTAAGATAACACTTCAGTTATCTTCTTGGTAAGTGCATGAATATTTGGGTCAACTTATATGAAAATATGAATGGCAAACCCATATTTTAAAAATGAATAACCTTTAAATTTTTTATTTCTTTGGCAATAGTACCCCAATTTGTAAGAAATTTCTCTTCATTATTTTGAAATTTGTAACAAAAAGTAAACTTTAAATTGAAGTATTTTATGATACATGATTGGTTACAAAGGATGGACACTAATTCTGAGTAGCTTAAATGAATGAACTATTTTTCCTTTGGCACTTGAAAAATCCATGGGTAATCAGTGTGGTACACCCTGCTAGGGGTCTACCTCCCCGTTCTACCTTTCTTTTTTTTTCTTTATTTCTGGAAAGGCCTATCTCACTGTGGAGATGAAAAATGACAGAAGTACACTGTGGGTAAAATTGTAGTATTTCCAGAATCTCTCGCCTGGCCTTAGTGAATCTCTGTATAAGTAAGTGTTTCCAAGGGATGGAGAGAAGTAGGCCATCTTTATATCAATAGGTAATTATGTGGGCAAACCAGGGCATATCTGGACCAGAGAGGTGGGGTGGGACCTCTTTTTTTCTGCAACTGGGTTGCATGAGACATGGGAGAGCAGCAGTGGACAGGAGAGCAAAAGTGGAAGACTGCTTGTAAACAATAAACAGGTTTCTCCCACTTTATTTTTCCCTTTGACTGATGTTGGTTTCAAAGGTATTTTGCCCCAAGATTTTCCCCTGGAGTTACATACACTTGCTCAGCTTCCCTTTCCATTTGCACATGGGTGTGTGACCCAATCCTGGCCAAGGAGTCCTAAGGAGAAGTCACCTTGGGACTCTTGGAAAGATTTTCTTTCTTGATAAAAAGCCTTAAGGAAAATTCACTTTTCTTCCCTGTCTTTGGTCATGGGTATGTGTAGATGTGATTCAGTGGTTAGACAACAGGTGTGGGCCAAGAGCCCTGATTTGTTCTTTTTGCCAGAACAATCTACTTCTGAAATCTTTGATATATGAAGAAAAGAAATGTTCACTTTTAATGGAATGTTTTCTTATTTGTAGCCAATGGCATTTTCATTGATATTGCTGACTTCAGGGATGGCTGGGTTCAAAAGCTTAAGGGATAGTATCAAAACTTTATTTCTTTTTCTCATAACTCTTTTCTTCCATGTTGGCTTCATTATCAGTCTCCTGGTAGTGGCTCCAGGAAGGTTCAAACTAACATCAAAATGAACTGATACTGTTTTAACTGAAGGAGAACTTCCTCCAAAAGAGTTTCCAGAGCAATACTGGGATTTAGTCAGATTTTTCTGACTTGAGTTCTCTACCCTTCCCTGGAACAACCTCTCCAGCCAAGGACATGAAATATACCAGTCAGGTCTGCTGCACACCGCTGGAGCTTGGGGTGGGGTCCATCCTACCCAAAGTACCCAAAGAGTAGAGTGATTTCTCAGTACAGTTAACTGAAAAATGGAGGTGGATGCTGTGTAGACAAGCAAAACAGCAACAAAATAATCCAGATGTTCAATATGATCACAAAAATAAACAAATCAGTCTTTACATTGCCTAATTATAGAATGTATAGTGAAAAATGTAGTCTTGGAAATAAGGAGACTTTGATTCTGTTGGCCGAATCTTTTCAAGACACACATCATGAAGTTCCTGCTATATTCAGATACAGAAACTCAGACACACAATACCTATCCTCCCAGTCTGATGAGGGAGATAGAAGGAAATTGGTGACTACAACAGATCAGATAAATGTTGTGCACACCGTGTGTGTCATGGTTTTGCAAGGGAGCCAGAGGAGGAGTGTCAAGCTCAGTGTAGGCATGAGGCCAAAGTGTCCACCCAACTTTCCAAGAGTGGGTAAGTGACAACTGGTTTTGGAAAGTTGAAGTGGTGAGAACATCAAGAGCAAATTCACAGAGGCAGGTGAACTCCTGAGGCCTTTGACTAATTCTGGGCCACTTCCAGCTCTGATGGTGGCCTTGGACAAGTTTGCTAACCTCTCGGTTTTCTCATCAGTAAATAGGCAGAGAGTAGGTTGTGAAGGAGGGAAAGGGTGGATAGGGTAGGACTTTCCCAAGATTTTTTACAGACTTAAAATCTGATTATTCTGTTATAACATTTTGCTACAGATATATCCAACTGATATGACAAAGGCCTAAAAACAAAGAGTTTTTTATTTTGATCAATCATGAAGTTTTCTAATTATTGCCAGAAAAAAGATTATAGTTTAATATTGAGTAACAAATAATCAAAGTCATCATGTTTGGAAAATGTTTCCCTAAAATGAAATGCTTTATAGTAACAACCCATTTTCTGGGGATGCATTTTTCAATCTTTGGTTCTCAGTGATTTCACCAAGAGACAATGCTATTAAAGTTAAAAGTTCATTTGGTGCTTTCCCAAGTTGTTTTGTTTTGATTTTTAAAGCTGTTTTAGCTTTTAAAAGCTAAAATTCTCTTAGCCTTCCTTTAAGACTTCAAGAACCCATCACACTCATTTTCCCATAGGCTAGAATATGTTCACTGTGATTACTGTGAAAATCTGAATTGCTAAGCCCCTATGCTGTTCCCATTGAATAGTACAGTAAAGTTCAGAAAATGAAGAGAAGAAAGTAAGGGAACAGAAATTACATGGGGAGTAAAGTTGATGAGAGAATATTTCTCCTGGGACAGGCCCTATGCTGAGAGGTTAAGTACACCCAAGTCAGACACAGATCAACCTGAACTTGGTACCTATTTGTTCTTAAAAAAAAGAGGAAAAAAGAGGCATGACTTTATCTCTTGACATCTTTTGTTTAGTAAGTACAGATTTATTCTCCTTCTTGACTTTAGACTTTGGTCATGCTATCAAAGCACTTTTGCAAAACAACACTCCCCCCCTTAAACTTACATTATTATAAAAAATGTATCCTAAGGTTCATATTAACTTGGGATAGCCATATTTAGACACACCTTGCATTTTCTCTTAGAAGACATCTTCCTCTATAGAAATAAAGAAGATTCTCATCTCTTTCCCACCCTCTTTTGACTACTTTAAAACAGCATCAGCAGCATTGATTAAAGCTGACATCTGAATATGAGAGAGAAACTAATATTTGTTGGACACATATTGAAAGATTTCAGTTTTGAGGCTTAGCATTTTTAGTGTCCCATATTAGTTATTAAATTCAAGGAAGTATATTCAAGAAAGAAGGCATTTATTATGCTTCTGTTATTCTTTCAGAAATGAGAATGGAAAGAATAGAAATGAGCTTTGAAAATATTTGAAACTATATAGATCTAGACTGCTACTGTGGACGTTTATTTCAAAATTTTAAAGCAAACATAAAAGAATGCAACAATGTCACACATATTATTAACTGTGATACATTGATTTGAAAATATTCATTATGACCAATAATGAGAGGAACAGAATGCTCTATTTGTTTAAGTGATCAGAAAACTCATTTGGAGGAATAATGGGCTTTATCTGGGAATCTGACACAGGAAACTATTTGAGGACATACTCAGCTATGTAAAGTTTATCTCTGTATTTGC